ATCTATGTTGGCCTAAGATTTCCCATCATGATTAAGGCGAACAGGTAAGGTATCACGCAAGCGAAGGTCAAATCAGGACCCCCCCATCTGAGGACCTACCGTTCGGACAACCATTTCACCACCAACAGGAGAGAGGTGGTTACTCCAAAAAAGCATCAAACCCTTCCCTGATGTGGGAGGATAAAACTCAGATCTTCAATTCAATAGAGAAGATCAATCGTTCCCTAGCTTAATCCTTTGGCTGGCATGCAAAACAAACAAACTCAAATATACGCGGTGCTAAATAAAATTAGGTGGCTCACACCCAGCTGATTGGTATGATTTAGACTCTCCCAAGTGCGCTTAGTACACGAAATTCCAACTAACCTTACTACTCCAATTCACAACTCAGGAATATTTGATCCAACTGCAGAGGTGGCAAAACACACGGTTGTTATAAGGCTAACCATAGTAAAACTGGATATAAATTGCTAATGTTAAATGGGTGTGTTAGCTGCAAGAAACACATAGCCTTTTGTGAACTTTGCCATGATGACGGAAGGACATACAACAGAATAGGAAGTGATTGGGTTCAAAGAGTTGGCATAGACTGGGTTAGCTGGCTGATGAGGTGGGCTTCATTGTTGGTGGTCTGGGTGGGTGAGGCTGGGCCCTGGAGGGGTGGAGTGGTACGGTCTGCCTTTATGTCTGGTTGGAATGATGGTCACGAATTTAATGTCATCTTGGCGTCCCTGTTCCCATTAGGGGCCAGGAAAAGGAATAGCTCTGCGGTCAAGTGCCCTCTTAAATGGACTGCTGTTCAAGCCTGAGACTGTAATCAGTCGCATAAGCCATAGTGTAATAAGCGACTTAAAAGCTGGTCTGGTCTGGTTAACAACTGACAGCGTAACAAAGTAAATGAAAATGAGCAGACTAGCCAATCTTCTTGAGATTCAGATGCACGTGGAGTATGCCAGGCAAATCCTGGACTAGATAGCCATGGAGGTGATACAAAAATATACCAGAATATAAGATGAGGAGTAAAGAAAGAAGAACGAAGAGGAGAATGAAAGAAAGAAGGAAATGATCTTGCTTCACTTCACCTATTTGTGAGGTGAATCACCTCAACCACCACGTCAGCCACAGCCACAACGAAAACCACTAGTAGCAATAGCCGTTGTCCCCAGATTGAAAATTTGGAGGAGTTGGAGAGACAATGGCAAGAGTTGGAGCCACAGCGTCGGGAGAATGACTGGAGCCGACGCTCGGTGTGTGGAGCCCGGTCCGGAAGGTGCTGACATTAACCAGGTGCATCGGAAGTTCTCGAGAAAAGCCCTTCTCTAACCAGATCTCTAGAAAAGAGAACCGAATCAAGTTGCCAAATTATAATTGTGTGTGTATGTATATGTTTGTGCACGCGTACGTTTGTATGTGTATGTGTTTACTATTTTGTTTGTGTTTGTGTGTGCGCGCGTACGTATGTTTGTGGTTTGTATGTGCGTTTGTTTAGGTGTAATTGTGTGCTCATACGTTTGTGTGTATGCTCATATGTGCACGCTTACGTTTGTGTGTATGTGTCTTTCCCTTAACAATGCCCTTATTCCTACAATCATGAGTGTTTGTTTTGTGTGAATGTGTAGTAGTGTGACTATAAACACTAACTCCTTTGCTGATGTGATTGTAGCTAATGATGTGTTTTGTAGATAAAAAACGTTCATTCTCCAACTATGTATTGATAGAAAGCATAGTGGTTTTGTTAGTATTAGTATGTTGCTTTGGTAATGAGAGTGCTAGGATAAACTAAATATTTATACAAAACAACACACTAATACTAGAAGATCCACTATATCAATACATAGTTAGAGAAGGAACGCTTTTATTTAATCCCTCGCAATGGTCATATGTAAGATGACAGCTACTTACAGCCAGGCCTAAACTGACCTTGCTCCCATTAGTCATAACTAATTATATTAGTAGTAGCTAAACATGGTTGATTGACAGGTTGAAAGGGTTTGTTACTATTCAAGAAATCATATACAGTGTAGGGATATTCAATATTACTCCTACACTTCATTGATATTCTCCTTCTTATGCTTTCAAAAATTACATTCACAAGCAAACTTCAAACAGAAATCTTTCATATATGTTCAATGTAATGTATGATAGTTCACGGTGAAACATGTTCAAAAAGACAGAAAAACACAAAATCCAATAATAACAATAAATGTAAATTATCCTCAGTTGTTGTTGTTGTTGTAGGGTTTAATGCCAATTTTCAGCACAAGATAGGCTATACATGGCGGCCAGTATTAATGGTGAAGGAAGAAACCTGGAAAGCCCCGGGAAGAACCACCGACCCACAAGAAGCTCCTTGCAGGTTATTTCACTTACCAACGTTAGCCGAGTCTGGACTCGAACTCACGCAGAGGTGAGATGGAAATGATCCGTAACGGACAGCGCTTTAGACTACATGGCCACTTAGAGCCCCTAAATTATCCTCAGAGATATGCTATTATTTATGCAATGAACTTTTAATTCACTTTAAAATGATCTTACCTGTTGTTTTATTCACGAGTTCCTGTACTACCATTAACTCAAGAACTGAAATAGAAAAATAATACACGTATGATTCAATATAATCGTTTAATTTTGTGCCTGTTAGATTCTTGTTGCTGCTCTCATTTTTTTTATACAGCTATTTACCAAAGTATCTAAATTTCCCAACATCTTTTTTCCGATCAATATAAACTGCATTCCTTCATTTTGAAAATGGAAACCAAAAATATTGTTTTATTTTACTTTTCACATAAATAATAATTCTACTATAAAGATTATATTTATAAAATTGTTTAGAAAATTTTCTGAAATTGTTTAGAAAATCTCCTGGCTTGATTTGAATGTTGTCATAATTATTTATGAGAATAGTTTGTTGTCCGTTTCCTAATTCTCAGCAGGGTATGATTTATTTTTTAGATAGAAATTGAAAATATTGCAGAAAGGTAGACGTTCGTGTGGAAATTCGATCAGAAGTAAATATTATCAAAAAAGGTTGCTCATCGTTTTATGTAGGTATGTATACTTTACGGAGAGTATATCCATGCACGTGACCTGGTTTTATCCACCTTTTTACATCATCGGGTGTAGTTTTAACAGCGTTTATCCGGCCCGCGCACCGTAATAATCCGCTTACTTATATAACTGAATGTTTTCACTTTCAGTTAGTATGTATGTATTTAAAGATAAAATATTGAACGAATGATTTTCAAGAAATTTATTTTCGAGGAAGTTTAGGATATCTCAATATCATCGGTATATTGGAGAATTTTCAAACATGCACACATTGTTGAACAAAACGGTTTAAAAAGCAAGCAACGTAACTACATTGGCAGAAACCACAGCCTAAAAATGTCAAAAAAGAGAACATTTCACCCAAAAGTGATATTTTTTAGGCATGATTTGTTTTCAAGATAGATTTGGTGATGATTTTCACAAACGATAAAAGCTAGTTCTTGTGGAAACTTGCCACAGCTTCACTGGTTGAGAGTTTCCCGCCGCATATGGACCAATCTCTCCGTATTAATACAGTGCGATTAAAACTCGGAATTTGTATAATCTTCTATTTACGGAATTCAAAGTAATTGTGTGAATTTCAGTAACAAATATTAGCACAAAAATATATATATAAATTGACGCTTCAGTATTAAACTTACCATATGTGAGGAAATACGTTTACTCATGCCTTCAAAAACGATGGGTACACACAATCCATCAGCGCGTTACTCACTAATACGAATGTGTGTGTGTGTGTGTGTGTGTGTGTGTGTGTGTGTTACTCTCTTCTGTATCAATGAAGTAAATTCGTATTAAATATGAAACTGCCTTACAAATGTAAACTAAATATAAACGCATCGCTTATTTCAGAAGCTATTTCTTGATGACAGTTAAATCCCGCCTGTATTATGGGAAGTTCCAAGAAAGTTTTTTTTTCTCTTGAATCATGTCGAGATATTGCCAATATCGTGTACAAGTTGTTTTCATCTGCGGATGATGCTATTTTTACTCGCTATCATACCTTGTGTACTTCTGTTGTTGATCATTTCAAAGGAGCATATATCTTCCTTACTCCAGACCGAAATGGGTTTTGGTGCCATATTATTGATCGATTCGGAGTACTTAGATTCACTGTCTGAAATTGACTTTGACAGTACTCTTCTGGGAATGATGTCTCGTGACTTATTAGCTCTTATTACCAATTATTATATTATGAAATTTCATCTTCTGTGTATCACAACTGTTGATGTCCTGTTGACAAAGTACACAACACACGTTTGACAGTGCACCACCACGATACCTACGGTGTTATATACCAGTATTACTCTTATAAAATGTACCTTTAATGATATGATGTCAGATTTTGTACTTCTTTGTTCTAGCTCATTTTGCATTATCAGGTTTTCTGCCCAGTTGAAAATAACCCCACGCCCGTAAATAGGTTTTATTAATATAAATTTGATGTTAATAGATTATATGCAATGTACACTCACAATCATTTATAATAGAATCTAAACCAGTATACAACAATTTGCTGTGTAATATATTCTCTCTAGATAATCACTACAATTTACAGCCATGAATACAATTTATAAAACAAATATAGATATGCATAACACCAAGAACAAAACAATCAGGCAATAGGTAGGATTTTAAGACCGTGACCAACTTTAGCTTCTTGCAAATTTGTTGTCACAATTTAAATAACCCAATGAATAATCGCATGATAAATTGAACTTATGTTCGGAAATTTCAATGAGTTAAGTTGTTTTCATGCAATAGAAAAGTTTAAACCAAAATAAATACATTTTGCTTTCATTTAATTTGATTGATCTATTGACCGACGCAATTGATTTTACTTTGTTTCTTGAAAATAAAAAAGCATGGCTTCATTTCTTTGTTTCTCTTTTCATATGTATCTTCCATGACCTGAAGGCACCAATGAAACAGTGGCTTTACCTGTTGTCGTAGGACCGTTCCGGTGGACTAGTGGTTAGAGTGTCCGCCTCAGATGCGGACGGATGTGGGTTCGATACCTGGCTGTTTCATGCAAAAGACTTACAAAAATGGTACTAACAGCTGCCTCGCTTAGCGCCCAGTATTAGGGGGTTTGTGTTAGGACTGGTCGGTTTGGTGTCAGGATAATGTGACTGGGTGGGACATCATGCTACATGTCTGCTGCATGATGCTAGACATCACTATAAACTACACACTGCAGATATCGTAGCGATATGCCTAAAAATATTTTAAAGCTACTTTGAAGATCTAAATCACACACACACACACACACACACACACACACACACACACACACACACAAATCTTTATTTGTAGGATTCACATTAAAAGTTGCCTACATTTAATACGATGATTAAGTCCAGTCATTCTTTCTAAATACTTGTGTTATGGACAACAATTGCCGGGATTCTAAACGCGCAACACTGGGTGATACAATACAAGATCGTATATCTTTGCAAGTTACACACATATAGGATTAATGCCATCATATAAATGTTTTATTTAAATGATACAAACCTTTACAATTCAATACCTATCTTTTCCATTTTAATCCTGTTTCTTCTCAAAAGATTATCGAACTCTCTGAATATCAAAACAACAGTTATAAAAAGGGTTCGTTGTTTTGAGTTTTTTCCATTTCATAAAAGTCTAATTTGTTCTAATTAAAGTAAATAAAAAGTACTTCACATTGGCAGCCTACAGTCTATTTCAACAGGTAAGGACGGAAACCTTCCAAAGCAAACTTGTGTTGTGTCCATATTCATTATTTGACCCTAATAAGGTTATCGAATGGTGACAAATATTGCGCTGATAAATGTCTTTACATACCGCAAATTGTTTTATCATGTATCTCTAATTCAAGAATGTAATTTCTGTACCTGCTTTCCACCAAAAAGCTATTTTCAATGAAGAAGGTCCAAAGTCTGCCCATTTCTAATAGGCTGCAAAAGTATAACCAGCTGCAATTCCTTTTGAATATTCTCCTCGACTGCGAACTTTTTGTCGTTGTTGGTGTTGGTGGTAATAGTAGTATTGGTGTGATGTGTGTGTGTGTGTGTGTGTGTGTGTGTGTGAGTGTGTGTGTGTGTGTGTGTGTGTGTGTGTGGCTATGTTTTCAAGCTCCATTGCGAGCATATAAAGGAATATAAGTTTGAATATTGAACGAACGTTATCATTAAATTCATCACAATAACTATGCATGATATCAAAGAGAAAGTGTGCATATAATCCATAAAGGTTCTAACGTCAACCTCCATAGCAGTGAAGCTGCGAAAACTCAGCTGGTACAGCGTCTGAGGTTTAATGCAAGGGAACTGGGTTCGATATCCCCTCGGGTGTGTTATTTGTATTATAAACATTATGGTGATTACTTTCCACGATACGCAATACCTTTCGTACTGAAATCATTTCTTCGAAAGGCTAATGATTGATTTTGTGAACCAGTTGTTTACTGCGATTTTTATTTGGCACCTATAATATACTATAATGACAACAAAATACACGCTGGAGTCTATTTTAAAATCCCAAGTATACTTGGTTATAAGACGAGTCCAACTACCAACTAAACAGACCCAAATCTGCCTGCACATTATGAGCAGGTAGATATGGGTCTGTGCAGTTTGTTATTAGTATTCATCAGAACAAACTGGATGCAATTTGCTCATCAGAAACATTGTACAATAGATAAGCATCTTTATTGTTAGCAGTTTGATTCGACTTATAAGCGAGTACATAAGTGCTATTTTAATAAAATGTAGTGGCAGTAAATTGACGCGTAAATCTGTTACATTTCTCGACCCATAATTACAAAACTACAATATGTTCTTAGTAGGAAAATTAAAAAAGCTGTAATTTACATAGGATCGCACGGCACAGTGTCAAATTTCAGAAACGCCTCTTAGAGTTCAAACATGTAGAGGGCATTTCATTTATATATCCATAGTAAAGTATACCTTGTCAATGTAGGTGTCGCATAAACTTTCGAAACAAATAATACTCGTTCACATTTAAATTGCTTGTAAATAGATGGCTTTTTAGCTACAATAAATGCAGAAAAGACACCTGCAATTAACATTGGCAGACGAGAATGAGGCTCGAATTGGAATACCTATTAGTTAAAGGACAGAGCAAATTGTTGATTAATAATCTCTCACAAGGTCTGATAAATGGGAGCTGCTGGCTTCTTTAATGCCGTTAATATTAGTATTCTACATGCTCATTTCCTTTTCGTGAATCGAGGGCATTTGTATATATCGTTAATATGGTTCTGTCATACAATTCACCACTTTCATTTTTGTGTAGGAGACTGTAGTTACAGAGGCATGATGGGCGCGCGCGCGCCTTTGGGTGTATTTATTTAACGTAGCTTTAACAATTTTTCAGTCATATCGCTATGATGTCTGCAGTACTGCAGTTCATAGTGATGTCTTGCAATGAGGCATTGTGCCGCAGATATGAAGCATCTCATCCGATCCACTCACATTATCTTGACACCAGGTCGATCAGTCCTAACACCAAGCAACTTATGCTGCGCGCCAAACAAGGCAGCTGTTAGCAGTACCGAATTTAGGCATAACCTAAACACGCTTAGGGCCTCAAAGTCTGAACTCAGTCTTAAGGGCTCCTCGAATATATTTTATTCCAAATATGGCCTCTATATCTTCCCGTAGCTTAGGGCCTCGCTTTGTCTAAATTTGGCACTGGCTGTTAGTACCAATTTTAAAAGTCTTTTGTACGACTCGGCCGGTATTTGAAACCGAGACCTCCCGCATCCGAGGCGGGCGCTCAACTACTTAGGTCGCCATAACGGTCCGTATGTAGGTTATTACTTTGGACCATCACTCCTCTTACGTTTACGTATGTTAAACCATCACGAAAATGAGAGATGACAAAACAAGCTGCATTTCTTTCACATTAGTTTTGCTGGCATACACACATGCTTGCCTTGCCTTGCCTTGCCTTGCCTTGCCTCGCCTCGCCTTGCCTCGCCTCGCCTAGGCTTGGCTTTCCTTGCCTTGCCTTGGCTTAGCTTATCTTACCTTGCCTTACATTGCCTTGCCTTGGCTTGGCTTGCTTGCTTACTTGTTAACTTGCTTACTTGCTTACTTACTTACATGCAAATGCTTAGAACAATATTGAAAACGATCAAATTAAAATTTGTCTATTTGCAATAATCTGAAAAACTTGGTGATTATATCGTTTAAGGTTTTCATGTATATCGTAAATAGTTTCGACACATATTTGTTATTATAATTGCAATATTGGTATTTTTCATTGGTTAACTTTACCTCGCAAGATTGTGTGTACGTATGCGTATACTGTCCAGGCACAATTAAATTTTCTGGCTGTACTTTCTCTCAAACTGTAAGGAAAATACCATCGTTTCGTGCATAGACTATATCAACTACCTCTCACGTTATATGCAGTTTGGCGCCAGATTAAATGTTTTCGATACTAATTTTGCCAAATTATCATAGCATATGGACTTCTTCAAGATGTCTAAGGACTAGGTTAGTCAAAATAAGACATCTAAATAATAGCTGGCTACTTGATGTACAATTCTATTCAATGCATAGCTTCTGTTATCACGGGCAATTAATGCACTTTGAGTATGACAGAATGTATTTACAAAGGGTTATTTAGATGATGGGGACTAACATCTTGTGAATTAAAACATCCATCCATAGGAAACAAACGCAATCCATATTACGGCAGCATTTATTCCTTGTTTCTTTTAGATCAAAATAAAACTTTCGGGTACGGACATTAAATTACGTTCGGAGGCCCAATATTATTTGTATGCTTTGCCTGCCTTAAAAGAAATGCGCGATAAATTCTCAGGTCACTGACTAAATAATCTATGATAGAACACTTTCTTATCCTTTGTATTCTTATATCGTAATCGATTCTTAGTAACGATAGTTTTGAATTGCAGATTTTTAATATACAATTCATTTTGTAAGACTTATCTTGGGCGTAGCGTATACGGATTAAGAGCAATTTCAAAATACATCTTCCTCCAGTTCGCCCCAACTTAAATAATATAGCACTTGTATTTCAAACATTAAAATAAACTCTTTGATCAAGCAGTAAAGATACGCCTTGAACTACTGATACTTGACTTTTATTTGATATGTTCCCCTTAAATTTGCAGATGGATTTTTGTAGTTATACTGAAACACTCTGGCTGTAAAATATGTCAACAAAGAAGCGGTTAGTCGTATATCGTTTAAATATTTTAAAACATAACATTTAGATGCAGATTGGTTATTTTTAACTAGGGAAATACAAACATATCCAGGGGCGTACCTAATGAATTTGACACCAGAGGAGAATATTTCCATTTGCACCCTACAAATAATTTTAAAAAAATGTAAACACACAGGAAAATATATTATGTTTGAAAGCAGATTTTTAAACAACACACTGCGCTCATAAGCAAACTGAAATAAGAAAAATGCAAGGCATTAAAAATTTAGTGAACAGGTAATATTGCATTTTATTTTTTTTTAAGGAACAAACAGCGAATACTTGTATTTCAACTCTCCCGATGGGACAAACCCTTTCTGGCTGTCACCTGGATCGGATATCCCCCTCCACACACACACACACACACACACACACACACACACACACACACACACAAACACTACCCGTTAAGTAAACAAGAAATTTCAAGAGTAATTCACCGCCGATGAGAACTATTATAACAGGAAAATTGTCAGCCGTTTATCTTGCAACATGTATGGTGCACTCCGTCTGAATCGAATCGCCAAAACACCAAAACCAGCTAAAATCATGTTTGGGTCAAACTAAAAAATGACATGCTTGAAGGTGTGTAACCAATTAAGCAGCTCATATCTCAATTTAAATGTTCTGATTGATTTTGTATTTGACTGAAATTTTCATGACAGGGACGGATTTTTTAAATGGAATACTTAGAAAAAGGTCATATTGTGCATATTGTGGTTGTGAAAGGTGTATGTGTGTGAAATAAGGTCACAAATTATGTTTTGCTTGACCCGGAAAT